GAAGGATTGCAGTTTGTTGTCACAAATAAGAGGCTCCTTTTCATATTATCTGATTACACAGATTCCCATGACACTGTGTCATCATCCAATTCTATTGTTTGTCATATTTGGTGGGTCAGAAGGATTGCAGTTTGTTGTCACAAATAAGAGGCTCCTTTTCATATTATCTGATTACACAGATTCCCATGACACCGTGTTGTCATCCAATTCTATTGTTCGTCATATTTGGTGGGTCAGAAGGATTGCAGTTTGTTGTCACAAATAAGAGGCTCCTTTTCATATTATCTGATTACACAGATTCCCATGACACCGTGTTGTCATCCAATTCTATTGTTCGTCATATTTGGTGGGTCAGAAGGATTGCAGTTTGTTGTCACAAATAAGAGGCTCCTTTTCATATTATCTGATTACACAGATTACCATGACACTGTGTTGTCATCCAATTCATTGTTTGTCATATTTGGTGGGTCACTGCAGTTTGTTGATTACTCCAATAAGAGGCTCTATTTATCTGATTACATGATTCCCATGACACTTTCATCCAATTCTATTGTCTCGCCATTTTTGGGTCATATTATCTGAAGGATTGACAGTTTGTTGTCACAAATAAGAGGCTCCTTTTCATATTATCTGATTACACAGATTCCCATGACACTGTGTCATCATCCAATTCTATTGTTTGTCATATTTGGTGGGTCAGAAGGATTGCAGTTTGTTGTCACAAATAAGAGGCTCCTTTTCATATTATCTGATTACACAGATTCCCATGACACCGTGTTGTCATCCAATTCTATTGTTTGTCACATATTTGGTGGGTCAGAAGGATTGCAGTTTGTTGTCACAAATAAGAGGTCCTTTTCATATTATCTGATTACACAGATTCCCATGACACTGTGTCATCATCCAATTCTATTGTTCGTCATATTTGGTGGGTCAGAAGGATTGCAGTTTGTTGTCACAAATAAGAGGCATCCTTTTTCATATTATCTGATTACACAGATTCCCATGACACTGTGTTGTCATCCAATTCTATTGTTTGTCATATTTGGTGGGTCAGAAGGATTGCAGTTTGTTGTCACAAATAAGAGGGCTCCTTTTCATATTATCTGATTACACAGATTCCCCATGACACTGTGTTGTCATCCAATTCTATTGTTTGTCATTTGGTTGGTCAGAAGAGGCTTTTTTTCATATTTTGATTTTCACAGATTCCTATGACACCGAGGTCATTTGTTCGTCATATTTGTTATCTGATTTGTCACAAATAAGAGGTCACATATTATCTGATTCCCATGACACTGTGTCATCATCCAATTCTATTGTTTGTCATATTTGGTGGGTCAGAAGGATTGCAGTTTGTTGTCACAAATAAGAGGCTCCTTTTCATATTATCTGATTACCATGACAGATTCCAATTCTATTGACACTGCAGTTTGTCATCATCCAATTCTATTGTTTGTCCAATATTTTCATATTTGGTGGGTCAGAAGGATTGCAGTTTGTTGTCACAAATAAGAGGTTTTTCATATTATCTTTACACAGATTCCCATGACACTGTGTATCCAATTGTTTGTCATATTTGGTGGGTCAGAGGATTGCAGTTTGTTGTCATAAGAGGCTCCTTTCATATTATCTGATTACATGATTCCCATGACACCGTGGTTGTCATCCAATTCTATTGTTCGTCGTATTTGGTGGGTCAGAAGGATTGCAGTTTGTTGTCACAAATAAGAGGCTCCTTTTCATATTATCTGATTACATAGATTCCCATGACACCGTGTTGTCATCCAATTCTATTGTTTGTCATATTTGGTGGGTCAGAAGGATTGCAGTTTGTTGTCACAAATAAGAGGCTCCTTTTCATATTATCTGATTACACAGATTCCCATGACACCGTGTTGTCATCCAATTATCTATTGTTGTCATATTTGGTGGTCAGAAGGATTGCAGTTTGTTGTCACAAATAAGAGGCTCCTTTTTCATATTATCTGATTACACAGATTCCCATGACACTGTGTCATCATCCAATTCTATTGTTTGTCATATTTGGTGGGTCAGAAGGATTGCAGTTTGTTGTCACAAATAAGAGGCATCCAATTTTCATATTATCTGATTACACAAATAAGATTCCCATGACACACTGTGTCATCATCCAATTCTATTGTTTGTCATATTTGGTGGGTCAGAGGGATTGCAGTTTGTTGTCACAAATAAGAGGCTCCTTTTTCATATTATCTGATTACACAGATTCCCATGACACTGTGTTGTCATCCAATTCTATTGTTTGTGTCATATTTGGTGGGTCAGAAGGATTGCAGTTTGTTGTCACAAATAAGAGGCTCCTTTTCATATTATCTGATTACACAGATTCCCATGACACTGTGTCATCATCCAATTCTATTGTTTGTCATATTTGGTGGGTCAGAAGGATTGCAGTTTGTTGTCACAAATAAGAGGCTCCTTTTCATATTATCTGATTACACAGATTCCCAATTCATTGTTTGTCATATTTTGGTCAGAGGGATTGCAGTTTGTCATCCAATTCTATTGTTCCCATGACACCGTGTTGTCATCCATTTGGTTCGGGTCAGAGGGATTGCAGTTTGTTGTCACAAATAAGAGGTCTTTTCATATTATCTGATTACACAGATTCCCATGACACTGTGTCATCATCCAATTCTATTGTTTGTCAGTATTTGGTGGGTCAGAGGATTGCAGTTTGTTGTCACAAATAAGAGGTGATTACACAGATTCCCATGACACTGTGTCATCATCCAATTCCCTATTGTTCGTCATATTTGGTGGGTCAGAGGGGATTGTTTTGTTGTCACAAATAAGAGGCTCCTTTTCATATTATCTGATTACACAGATTCCCATGACACTGTGTCATCATCCAATTCCTATTGTTTGCTCATATTTGGTGGGTCAGAGGGATTGCAGTTTGTTGTCACAAATAAGAGGCTGACACTTTTCATATTATCTGATTACACAGATTCCCATGACACTGTGTCATCATCCAATTCCCATATTGTTTATTGTTATTTGGTGGGTCAGAAGGATTGCAGTTTGTTGTCACAAATAAGAGGCTCCTTTTCATATTATCTGATTACACAGATTCCCATGACACCGTGTTGTCATCCAATTCTATTGTTCGTCATATTTGGCGAGTCAGAGGGATTGCAGTTTGTTGTCACAAATAAGAGGCTCCTTTTCATATTATCTGATTACACAGATTCCCATGACACTGTGTCATCATCCAATTCTATTGTTTGTCATATTTGGTGGGTCAGAAGGATTGCAGTTTGTTGTCACAAATAAGAGGCTCCTTTTCATATTATCTGATTACACAGATTCCCATGACACCGTGTTGTCATCCAATTCTATTGTTCGTCATATTTGGCGAGTCAGAGGGATTGCAGTTTGTTGTCACAAATAAGAGGCTCCTTTTCATATTATCTGATTACACAGATTCCCATGACACCGTGTTGTCATCCAATTCTATTGTTTGTCATATTTGGTGGGTCAGAAGGATTGCAGTTTGTTGTCACAAATAAGAGGCTCTTTTCATATTATCTGATTACACAGATTCCCATGACACCGTGTCATCATCCAATTCTATTGTTTGTCATATTTGGTGGGTCAGAGGGATTGCAGTTTGTTGTCACAAATAAGAGGTTCTTTTCATTATCTGATTACACAGATTCCATGACACTGTGTCATCATCCACCCTATTGTTTGTCATATTTGGTGGGTCAGAGGGATTGCAGTTTGTTGTCACAAATAAGAGGCTCCTTTCATATTATCTGATTACACAGATTCCCATGACAAGTTCTATTGTCTTATTTGGTGGGTCAGAGGGATTGCAGTTTGTTGTCACAAATAAGAGGTTGATCCTTTTTCATATTATCTGATTACACAGATTCCCAAGACACTGTGTCATCATCCAAAGAATTGTTTCTTCATATTTGGTGGGTGATTGCAGTTTGTTTGACAAATAAGAGGCTCCTTTTCAAATCTGATTACACAGATTCCCATGAACTTGAGTTATAATGAGTCATTTCTCAGTTGATTATACAACCACATTGTTACATTGTAATAACTCTCTTGATAGAGGTTGATGAGCATGACCGTTCATCTTCTAGGATTCCTATGCGATTCATCAATTCTATTGTTTGTCATATTTGAAGAACCCTTAAGAGGTCTTTTTCATATTATCTGATTACACAGATTCCCATGACACCGTGTTGTCATCCAATTCTGTTGCATATTTGGTGGGTCAGAGATTGCTTCACAAATCCACTCCTTTTTCATATTATCTGATTACACAGATTTCCATGACACTGTGTTGTCATCCAATTCTCTTGATATTTGGTGGGTCAGAAGGATTGATTTGACAAATAAGAAATTATCATTACATGAGATTCATGGTTGATTAATCATTGTTTGTCTATTTGGTCAGAGGGATTGCATTTGTTGTCACTTGAAATGATTACACAGATTATCACTTTTTACACTTCTATTAAAGAAATTTTGGTGGGTAGTTTTGATAAGAGTTCCTTTTCATATTATCTTTTACACAATTCCTTGTCAGTTGTTCACAACCACATTTTTGCCATTTGATTTGCAGTTTGCCTCAAATTCTAGGTGATGTTTGTTGTTTTTTCTTGTTGAGCTCACAATGAACCCTTTTCTTATTATCTGATTATTGGAAATTCAGGTTGTTATCATTGTCTATACTAATTCCACATACCAGGCCTTGTTGTCACAATACCCTGACGTTCAGTTTTAGTTAATCAGTCCCTTGATAACCAAGGATTCCATGGTTGTCAAATAAGTTTTCTGTGTTCTCTTCTGTTCTGAAGTCTGGATTGAACTCACAACTTTGTGAGTCAGGTCACTTTTTAGATCAATTAACCAACACTTTTATCCACTGGGCCATGAGTGGACAAAAACTTGGTGAGTTGAGTTTGGATACCTAAGTTTTTGAATTAATTCCCTTGATAAAAATTCCCATGAAATATCAAAAGGTGTGGTCATATTTTGTGGGTCAGATTGCACTTTAAAATAAATCTACTGCTGTTACCACAGACCCAAATAAAGGATTTGATGTGGAATTCCAACAAATATCACCTGACGAAGTCCGGTGCATACATCGGTCGATTCACAGTGTATTAAGCCACAAGTGTTCAAATGGAAGAAGTTTCACCCTGTTAACAAACCTGCTGTCTGGTCTGGGCTAAAATGCTACACTTTTAATGGCAACTCAATAGAAAGGGTTTTCTAGAAAACCACTATTGAACACAGCCCTCATAAATGGCAATATGGTAAAAAAATAAAAATGTATTAGAAACAGTTGACTGGTTTTTATTCCTCTTTTATCAAACTTTGATGGAGGAAATAAAATGCAGTGCACAAAAACTAAAAGAAAGTGGGGTAATTTTTTTTACAATAACGTTCACCTTGTACAAGGCCCAAGAGCCACTCGAGGTAGAGGGTTACAGAGTAAGAGGCACAGTTTATGGGGATATGTTTGGAAGATAACAGTCAATCCTAGTCTTAGCTGTGAAGGTTAGAACTGGTGAAAGTAAAGAATGTAGTTCGTTTGGACACTTTCCTTGGAAATAATGATAGAGCAGTAAGTCTTGTGACATCTCTCGTCTGTGAGAGGTGGGTTCTAGGGTGGAAAACACTGTTTTGAAAATAGAATCAAGCACTGGTTATTTTATAATGTAAACACTAGTGAGAAACATTTCATGGTCTAGAAAAATAATATATATATATATATATATATATATATATATATATATATATATACACACACACATGCACATATATATTATGATATGTTTAAAGACCAAAGTCCCTAGTCTACAATTATTTTAAAGACATTTTATGTTTATGATACAAATATTTAAAATGTTTGTTTTATAATAAACAGTATTAAACAACATTTACTGGCCTGAATGTCGAGAAATTTTCATAGAAAATTTTCGTCCTCCAACAGGAATAGAACCTGTATCCTATACGGAACCATCATACAGCCTGATGTGCCTTTAACCTGCTTTTGTACAGAGGAGGACGAATATTTTCTATGAAAATTTCTCGGACATTCAGGCCAGTAAATGTTGTTTAATACTGTTTATTATAAAACAGAGCATTTACTCAAATATTTGTATCTATAAAAAAAATGTATAAACATAAAAATGTCTTAAAAGAATTGTCGGACTTTGTCCATTTCATAATGTGTGACATCATTTGTTTACATTTGATACGCCATGAGCAGATGTCAATGTACGTGAGAGATTCATGGAAGATTACAGTTTAAAGACAGTAAAATCGACCTTGCTAACTGAACACTCCTCTGTGGCTGAAATGGTTAAAAGCACATCAGGCTATATGACAGTTACGTATAGGATGCAAGTTCGATTCCTGTTAGAGGACGAAAATTTTCTATGAAAATTTTTCAGACATTCAGGCCGGTAAATGTTGTTTAATACTGTTTATTATAAAACAGAGCATTTATTTAAATATTTGTATCTATAAAAAGAATGTATAAACATAACAATGTCTTAAAACACACACACACATATATATATATATATATATATATATATATATATAAAGAAAACCCAGTTCAATGAAATCCTGACAGATAAAACACATCACTAAAAATTTTCAAATTTATCATATTTTTCTAGATAGATATTCTAACAAAAACACACAAACACACTACACAAAAATGGAGATAGCTTTAAAGAGATACAGAGGTCATTAAAAAATAAAGAACAAAGATTTTCCTTCCTTCCACCTTTCTCTGACTAATCCTAATTGTTTTTTTACACTAAGCAGAAGAACATTTTCTCCACCAATCCAAGATGAATTTGGATTACTACCACATTCAAAAGACAATGGTTAAACATAGGAAAACAAAGAA